GATTGTGTGGACACTGAGATTAAGTTCTACCAGTGAGGAGGTGGGAGGCTGCAGGGATGTATTTAGTGTTGTATGATGTGCACGAATGAGCTTTAGGCTGGGATTATTGTCTCTTATGAATGCATACTGTCTTAATATATTCTTTTTAAACCAAATTTAACATGTATATGCAGGATGTTTTTTAAACATGCAAGACCTGCTACAAAAGGTGATTTCTTTCATGTCTGCAGACAGTTAGGTCCATAAGTACTCTGATAATGCCACAACCTTTGGGCATTTATCATGAAATAAGAAGAAAACAGGCTTCACTTACCATCAAATTTGCCTGTTATTCAATTGCCAGTTACTTTTGTACCCCTGAAAATGGCGGGCTAAAAATAGCAATAGTTTTGTTAAACATGTTGAATTAAAGATAAAATTCCACACCTCGTTTATTTGATTTGAATGAGCATTTTTGTCTTCACATATCATATATTATATTGTAATGCTCTCCTTTCTGGGCTACCAAAGAAAAGTTTTAGAGGTTTACAGATGGTGCAAAATGCAGCTGTTCGCGTTTTAACTAAAACTGGAAAATCTGAGCACATTACCCCTGTACTGAAATCCCTTCATTGGCTACCTTGTCAGGTTTAAGCAGATTTTAAGGTCCTGCTGCTCACCTACAAGGCTTTAAATGGTTTGGCACCTTCATACCTCTGTGATCTTTTGCACCTTTATGTTCGATCCCATGCTCTCCGGTCTCAGGACTCTGGCCTTTTAAAAGTTCCTAGAGCCAGAACAAAGACTGTTGGAGAGCGTGCTTTTTCTCTTCATGCCCAATTTTTGTGGAACAACCTCCCTCAAGATATCAGGCAGGCATGCTCTGTGGAGGTTTTTAAAGACCCGCTTGTTCACCCTGTCCTACATGTCTTAATTCTATGCCTTTTAGTTTTTTTTTTTGTTTTTTTACATTTTTATCGTTTTTAACTTTTGTTATGTTTTTAACTCGTTATTGCGTTTTTAACTTGTATTGCTATGCATCACTTTTATTTATGTATCTCTTTATAGCTGTACAGCACTTTGTCTGAAAGTGCTTTATAAATAAAGTTATTATTATTATTATTATTATTATGTCCAAAGAAAAACTTGGAATGACCTTCAGATTACAAATAATTATCACTGAAGACTATTTACAATAAATTCTGGCTCCTTGAAAGTAAAACATAAAGACATGGAGAGTGGCTCAGGACTTTTGCACAGTACCACATATTCAAGTTAAGAATTTTGCAATAGTTTTAATGGTAAAGTGGACACATCTTACCGTAATCATATAGTCTGCAGTGGTTAAAATGTAATTTAAGGTATTGAGATGATCATTTTTAAATCCCTTTTTTGATGAAAGATAAATTCTTTGACAGCGTCGTGAAGGTCAAACACGAACACAAAGCCTTTCATTTAGGAGGAGATATAAACGGTCAGAGAACTCAGAGGTTGTGATTCCTACTTATTGAAATATCCTCCTGTTAAAGTGGGATTTGCTGCTTTGCTCACAGCAAAGCTAATTAAGCTCCTAACATGCTGTGTTTCATGGTTCTCTGTTACAGCGCCCTCAGGTGGATACTCTTTGTGCTCACAGAGTGGCAGGAGAAGGCCCTGGGACTGTTGCAGACTCCAGCGTTTCTCGTGTTGGCTTCCGCCTCACTTCTGCACCGCACATTTCTGTCCCCATTCCATCCTTAACACAGAATGTCTTAACAGCACATGTGATTGGAGCATATTTATCATCCGTGTCGCCCAGGGAGCAATGACTGCACCTCATTAGTGAGAAATATGATGTAGACTACACAGGCGCCTATGTAGAGCTGTGTGACGTTGCACAAATACTGTGAGTACGGCATTCGTTTAACTTCTTGTTTCATGTTGCAAATGAACGGGTTGTCATTCGTTTGATGGCTCCCTGTAGGGAAGGATATAATAAAGTTAATAAAGTCCTGAGTGTGTTGTGAGCTTTTTGTTCACATTTGCACTAATGGTAGGTCTGCCTGGACGGTCAGCAGGGGCTGAGCTGAAGGAGGGTTTGGTTGCACAATAAAAACTGTGTCAGCAAAGCTGCATTGACTCATAGTGAAGTGAAAACAAAGATTAAAATATAAATTTGTGTAAAAACAAAAAAACAAAAAAAAAACCAAACAAATCTGCAATTATAGTATGGTGATCTATCTATAATGTACTTCTCATTAAAACAAAAATGTATCGCTTTGTTCTAGCAAAAATATTATTGGGATGTTGGATGCTGCATGAAATATTTTAGATATTGCAATTTAATTCAATGTTCTATTGTGAATATGTAAATTCAGTGTGTGTGTGTGTGTGTGTGTGTGTGCGCGCAACAGTGTTTGCCACCATCTAGTGGTTGATTGGATTTACTGCAATTAAGTTCACTCCACCTTTGACAAAATAAGAGGTTGGTAACCTTGACCACCCAAAAAATATAGTGCCACAAATCATAATTAAGTGTTATAATGAGGGTGAGGTTATAAAGAGCATTAGTATAAATGAGACTATCAGCATTATGGGTGTAAATATTTAAAGCGTTTAACCACATCTGACTGCCTTCCAGTGGTCTATTTATGCATGACAGTAACCCCATGTTTTGGTACGTTTATGAATTAATAAAACTAAAACAACTACAATGAAATTGAATAATTAAATTAAAAGATATTTTGCTTCTTTTAAAAACTGCTTTTATTACTAACAAAACTGAAAAGCTGATACAGTTTATTTCTAGGAGGACCCTATCACTGTGGAGGGGTTTGTAGGCCTCTGTTCAGCGTTGCAGTTCTGGGAGAAGAGAAGAGAGAAGTTCCCTAATAACAGTGGTATATATGACTTTCTCTGGGATGGAGTTACCGAGGGTCCCACCCTGCAGCAAGGCCTGGATAAGGGACTCTAAAAATAACACCTTTTGGCTGAAGGGCTCAGTTGAGGTAAGTCTGAATGAGCACAGGGGCCAGAGTTCCTGGAGAATGTGTCCTGACTACCTGGCCTTCTTGGATGGGGTGGTGGAAGGTGCCCCATCTGGGAACTCCTAAAGGTGCAGTCTACTCAGTCTGTATCCTGCTTTGCTATCGGACTTCTTTGACAGGTTTCCTGTAACGAATACCATATGTTCAAGCATATGGGTATCCCTAAGTGCGCTTGACAACAGGACCCCCAGGTTGTGAGTTGACATATATATTTTGAGGGTGCGCCGTCTGTCAGAGACCTCAGTCAGGGAGATCTTCTCCAGAAGAACTCTGACAGCAGGATGGCTGTAGACAATAAGTGAAAATAGTAAAAAATACCAAATGTTCCACACGTCTGCTGAGGTGACTGGAGCAGCAGCTGTAGGGTGAAAAGTGAAACGGAAGAGTGACTGGCCTTTTGATCTCCTGTGGCAGGCTGAAAGCAAAAGCAGTTCTAAAAGGTAGCTAAAGCAAAAACTCAAGTATGGGAGGAGTTTTGCGAAGCAATGGAGCAGGACTCCTTGAAGATCTTTGATGCTGCTTCCCCAGCAGATCACAGGGAAATATAATACTCTCACCACAACTGAGTGGTAGAAAGTCTCGGTGTCATTTACCTGCACACACTGAAGGGTCTCGGCTTCCCTAGGAACAGAGTTTGCTTATTCACTTTTGTGTGCCAACTTCCAGTTCAGCCCACTTTTGATGTGGATGCTTTAGTTTTGTCCTTTGGGGCAACTATGGCTCAGGAGCTAGAGTGGGAAGTATACTAATTGGAAGGTCAAGGATTCAGTCTCCTCCAGGCTGCATGTCAAAGTACCCTTGGAATGTTGAGTTAACCCCAGTATTGTAAGTGTGCATGAATTTTAGATAAGACAATATTAGATAAATGCTAGATAGAATAAAGTGTGTGATTGGGTGAACGAGGCTTGAGGCTTTGAGTGCTCAGTTAAAGTAGAAAAGCACTTTATATGGCTTAATGTAGCTGTCCTCTTCCCTGCATATGAAGTTAATCACCATCTCTCCAATCTTATCCACATTCAGAACATTCCAGACAAAAATCATCCTCTGCTCTGTCTTCCTCCTCTTCCTGCGCATTACTAACACATCTAACCACTGTAGAACTTTCATCAGAGTATTTCTGAGGATGGCATGACGAGAAGTTGTTCTGAAGCTGTGTAAGGTAAAAAGAAATGGAGACAGCACAGTGCCCTGTGGAGTTCCTGTACTGCAGATCAGCGCCCAGTCTCACATGTTGGAAAAGCCTCCTGTCCTTGTGGCTGCAGAGCTGAATCAGGAAATCAGAGGATTGTTTTTGCCTGATGTGTTGGCTGACCAGTCACCTTGATCTTACAACAAAAAGGAATGACTTAAAGGTCCTCTCAGAAACCATACATCATCCTCTTCAACATACTGTGCTTTCACAGCACAGTATGCCAGTACCCCACAATTATGTACTTATGTATACAGTGCCTCTGTTGTCTTGTATTTTCTGTGTAACCCAATTAAGAAAATAAAGAAAAACATTTTTAAAAAGACAATTAAATGTGAATTTTCTTACTTTTTGACGATAATTTCTTGTGTTTAAATGTTATCAATAAAGTTGCGTTAAAAAGTAGCTGAACCCACTTCTTCATCCCCGGGGGGAGATTAGAAAAACAAACCTCCTGGAATTCAGTCAGTGCCTGTTTTTTAAAATGCTGTCCGACTGTATTTAACATTTTGTGAATGTTTTTAGGAAACGTACTTACTGCTAAACATATTTTGAGCAGTTTTCCCTGGTTTCATTTACCCAAGGGAGTGTGTGTTTCCTGATTTGTAATGAAAGTGGAGTCATCCAGCGGAAATGGTAATTTTACGTTAGCCCACCGCGAATGCTGCTAAGTAGGTTAATCAAAAGCAGGGGCAAAGCTTTAATTCCTGCTGATTTAACTGCACTTTAGGACGAGAAAGTTTTCACAGACGCAGCGATTTTAGCTGGAAATACTATCCCGTCGATGATACAGTTGTAAGTTTGATATTTCTCCTTTTGCTAAAGCCAACTGAAGCTATTCCGTGGCCTGCTAACAGGCAGCTGCTGCAGCGAACGCTAACGTTCAACGCTGTTAACGTTAGCTCGGCCACGGCATACCGAAAGCTCCATTAAGCCAACTATCTAAGCTCTGGGATGCCTGAGCGTCCTTTCAGAGAATTCTGCAGCAGGTGCTTTTACACGTAGTTTCTATTTAAAGACACACCCGTGCCTATACTGTTGGTTTGTGACTCCTGCTGTATGTTCATTTCTTTAAAAAATGTTTATTTTATGTTTTGCTGGATATTTTTGTAGACGCATTGTGACCTACATTTGCTTGTTTCTTTCAATCCTGTTGTGATTATCAAGCATTTATGATCTAGGGGGGAATGTTTGTCAGTGTGATCTCTGAATGTAAACCGTAGTAGCATTGAACAGTGAGCTGGCCTGTTTTACCACCTCATAGGCCAGATCTGCAGGCAGCATATGCGGCTATCTTCAGTTTAACCCCGACTTAGAAGAATTGCGAGGGTAGTTATTACCAGAACGCTATTAATGGTTTAGCATGAATGTGGCTTTCTTCTAACCTGACTCGATCACCATGGTAACTGATGCTAAACATTTAACCTGAGTATACATGCGTCTGTCACATAACTGGCACAGAGACACACAGTTTAGAATCACAAATTTTTGGAGCCAATTTCTTTGGAGCACAGGCACAGGACAACTGTAGAAATCCTGACATATTCCAAGTGGAGAGCACTTTGTTTGCCTTGTTAATACAAGATAAGTGGTTGTGTTTATTTGAAGTCTGACATTATTCAAGTTTATTCTCTTTTTGTATCACTCAGGTCTGAAGATGTACTCAAACAGATCTGAGCACAGTTCCAGGCGGCAGTACAGCGAGAGAAGTTCACGGCAACGGGATGAATATGACAACAGATGGGAGAAAAGGCGTGACCCTCCCAGAGACATGCCACGGGAGTCGTATCATAAATATGGTGGGGATGGACGCAGCAGCACAGAGAGGAAAAGAAGTAGGGAGTACAGTGAGTCTCCGAAGAGGCTGTACAGCAAAGATACACTGAACAGGGACCGGAGCAGGAAGAGCCCGGTGAGGAGACGCATGTCTTCACCAGTGCGGGACCCCTCTAACAACAAAAAGCAGAGGTTTGCAGATGACGATGAGCGGGATTACAGGTACAGGCGTGAGGCTCAGGAGAAAACGTACAGGCCTTCACCGGACAGTTTTTCACGGTCGCATCTAACCAGGAATGTTGAAGATGCGTCACCACAAAATGAGGATTTCAAGTACAGGAAAACACCTCAGGACTCCAGGCACAGGCCTCTGCATGAGGAGTTCCCATACAGGCAGCTAAATGATGAGTTAACATACAGACGACTGTTGGGGTCTTACAAAGATGGAGATGAATATGAGAGGGGCCGGGATCCATCACAAGAGAGGGCACGATCACAGGAGAGGGTAAGTTTACATGATTGCTTAATGAGGGTTGGACAGGTTTCAATTGTGTGTTGTATCAGTTTGAATAGTGTTTTAATTCCAAGTAATCATTTTGTGGTTTGATTAAAAATATTTATCCATGTCAAACAGAGTTATGTCAATCCCAGAGAGAGGACGGACAGTCCTCTCACTTCTGTATATGATGAGGATTATCGCCAAGCTGGAACAAGATATCCATTGAATGGTTCGAGCCGACAGGTGGGTTTGACGTTACACATGTTGATAAATCTTTATCACTTCAGGCGTTATGGCTTGTAATTCCACTTGTGTCTCTGTAATAGACACAAGGTGTAATAGACTGTAATTGTATTTCACTTGCTGATTATTCTGCAGTAGCTTTACAAATCCGCTCTCAGATGTCACGTACACTGCTGTTTCGTGTTTGATTTGCTTTCAGAAGTGTCCCAGAAAATTGTGTGAAAATGTTTAACCTTCCAAAGATTTGTTTGACTCTTATACCTGTGACGTTTGTGTGCTTCCCATCAGTCTTTTGAGAGTGATGCACCCAGTCGAAGTGCAGCTGTTTCTGAGCAGAAGTCAACCAAAGGCTTCCAGCGTTTCCTCGACGTGCTAAACAAGGGCGTGAATGTCGACGTTCTCACTAAGATTGTGACTCAGACCTCAGATGACGACGATCAACCCGTTTCTCAAACCTTATTACCGAGCCCTGCTGATCATCTGTGGTCTCCAACTCACAATGCTGGGAGGAATCAAGGAAGCCACCAGGATAACAGCTACTGGAGTGAAAGCGAAAGGTCCCGCAGACCAGTTTCCCCGCAGACTCATCGAAGGTCCATCAGCCCAAAACGGTGCCCACTCTCTGATGAAAAGCCCCTTCAGGGGAATGATGGCAGGGAAGCCTACTTCCGCAGCAGATCCAGGTCCCCCTTGGTGGTGGAAAGGGTGCCGCTGCCACCTGAGGATGAACACAAGCGTAGGCAAATGCAGGATGTGCTCCAGGCCATTGGCATGGATTTAGGATTTGAAGAGCTTGGCCAAATGTCTCATAGAATCCAGGAGCGGCTGTATGGGAAGAAGGATTGTGATTTGGCTCGGAAAGTTGTGAGGGAGAAGGGCACGAGGCGACCGATTTCCCCGAGACGTCAAAGTAGAGCATCATCATCATCAAGCAGATCTAGTTTTAGCCCCTTAAATCAGAATTATTACAGTAAAAAAGACTCGTACAGTGCAGAGAGGGATGTAACAGATGTGCATCAAGTATACAAATCTGCTGAGTATGACCAGAAGATGAGCAGCAGCACAGTACAGGACAGTAAGAACTGCGAAGGGAAATCTCAGGAGAGCGCTGCTGCATTACAACCATTTTCTCCTAATTCCTCATACCCTTCATCCAAACCTCCATCTGCTCCGGTGGTGCCGACGTACCCTCCGGTCAACTGCTCACCGATGCCATACCCACCTGCTGTGCCTCCACCAATGCCCCATGTTGGGCCGGGGGTTATTATGCCACCCTTCGTCCCGTACCCCGGCATCCCGCCTATGAACATGTATCCAACCATGCTCCCGCAAGCGAGCCACATGTTCCCGCATCACGTTAATCATCCACAGCCGCCGTATTTCAGCCAATCAAATGTAAGTGCAGTTCAGCCAGTGAACACAACGCAAAAATCCAAACCACTGACAAGGCCCCGCTGTTTGCAGGTTATTCAAACCAAAAAAAAGCCTAGATAAACGAGGCTGCGCAGGGTGGAAGTGAGACTTTGAAACTGACTGATGGAAACAGCTGGGCCTTCAGGGAGTCTCTTTTTAACCGCAAAACACGCATTTGAAGCATCAGAGAACATCACAGTGAACATTTGCAAGCAATCAGTCCAGCAGCAACTAAGAGAACAACACAATGACATTATCAGCTACTGTATCGTGAGTTTGATGACAAACTGTAGGTGGTGCTGCAGCTCTTCTTGATTCTCGGTCTACTCTCATACCCATCACACATTCACTAGTCTGCCACAACATTAAAACTGCCGACAGTGGAAGTAGAAACAGCTCGGGTCCTTGAATTCACACGGATGCTATTTTGACATTGTTACAGCTTTGATGCAGACCAGGCATTGGGCTGATGGCAGCAGCCTCCTCTTGTATGGCAGTGCAGCCCGTTATACTACAACAAGTTATTAAGCCAGCCTACGAAGCTGGACCACCGTAATTCTCAGAGGTTCACAGGACCCAAAGGATCCACTGCAGCGTCCGCTCGGAGGTCCTGCATGCATGCCTGGACTCCTCAGGCAGTATGAAGCAGGTGGTTTTAATGTTGTTTGGTTGGTGTAGCTTATAATAGCCCGGTCACTCTAGGAAAAAAATAAATAAAACAAATACTGAAAGTACAAAAATGTGTTATTTTGTTAAAGTTTTACTAAAATTTGATGCATTTTATTTTTGTGGACATCATATTTGTCTTTATATAGGAGCCTTTATGTTCATTAATTAGCTCAAAGGCCAACCTACAACTACAAGACATGCTCTACACTTCTGTCTCTTTACATATTTTTCTTATTCTGTAAACATGCAGAAATTTGCTGTATAAATATTGAACTGGATAATATTAAACAAAAAAGCAAATACTTTGACTGTGTGCTGAGTTATTGAACGTGTACAGATTTACTGTGGCGCTGTTCTCGCCACAACTAGAAAGGCTCTGTAATAGAAAATATGAATTTCCAATTTTGTTTTTAAACAATGATTTAATCAATGAATTTGACTGACGTTTTAAACCCAGAGCACATTTCCTTTACAGGAGAAAAAAGCCTTCGGCCAACGAGAGAGGCAAAACTGGTTTCAGCTGTTAACCTTCAGTTTCAGTCCAACCACAAGCAGCAGATAGGAATACAAATGTTTTTTTAAAAGCTTTATAAAATCATGTTAAAATGTCAAAGGTAGGGAAATTTATTTGAAATAATAATTTAGAATTATTTTGGTTAAAAGGTTTAAATTATAGAGACTCTATAAGATGCTCTATAGATGCTTTATAAGCAATACTACTCAAAAATGAAATTACCGTTATAGCAGCCAAAACATGAAAAAGTACTTTGGTCAATAAAAGAAATGAATATAACAAATTAGCTCACAAAGTAACAAATTAGAATAAATAATGACATTTTCAATATAAAATTAGAGCAGTAATATTGAATAAAGTATGTGGATATATTTCTAAAAATGTGATTTTTAAAATGGAGCCAAGACTCAACATGTAACTTTAAATAATAGTGAGGTGAAGTTAATCATAATAATAATAATGATGATAGCCTTATTTATGGAAAAAACAGTGTATACAAAATGCTTTGAAGCAAAATACTAACTTCAAACAGAAAAGATCAAATCAGAGCTTTTAGGCTCCAGACCCTCACGACCCTGAAGGAGGACAGTAGAGGATAAATGACTGAATGAATGAATGAATGTGTGTATATAATGAAGGGAAATATACTGAGTGAAGAAAAAGGCATGTTGCAACTGCAATTTTTTCTCTAAGGTTTAATCTCAGGAATAATGGTTCAATACATCGTCATAGTTAAAGAATTAAAAAAAAAACTGATGTAGAAAGCATTTACAAACAGCTAAAAGGTGCGGAGTAGTTGTTAGTTTAAAACCATCTGAGGCTGGAGTCTGAAGGGCAATCTTTAAACAGCGATAGTGAAATGTTTTTGCTTCTAAATGCATTTATTTTTATAAATAGTTTTATTTGGTAAGTAAATTTATAAAATGATAATTCTTTGCAGCCCAGGAATCTTTTTTTTTTTTGAGGGGGGCGCTTACGACCACCTGACCTGTTTTTCTCCTGCAGTGTCAGTACTCTGTCCTGCAGGGGGCGCTGCTGTCACATTTCACTCACCTACACCACCGAAGCAATGTGATCGGTAATGGCCTCTTTCTGTTAACACCAAAAGCTCGTTTAGCTTTAACGGTTCCCATTTTTTTCTACCGAAACGTCATTAATGTTGGAGTTTCACTGTTCTTGGTCCGAGTGGCTCTTAGCTTAAAAATGAAAAATCTTTCCACGATGTAAAAGAAGAAGCTCTCGTTTTCCACGGCAATAGTAGGTGACCAGTCTTTTTAGCAACGATGCTAAGTTGTGTAAACACCTTACAGTATGTTAGACCGACTGTCCACACGTTAACGAGTGTGATGTGACGGCTGCCGGGTTTGGTTGTTACTTGGTTACTTTGGTTGGCTCTGTGTTTGCTCATTAGGAGCGTTCATGTAAGCTAACGCTGAGGGTTTTGCTGTGAAACAAGCATAAAGACAACATGAAAGCTCGAAGCTGGTCCAAAATAGTCTTTGTGTTTACATTATGGGAGGATGTAATGGCTTCACAATATACATACACATCTATCTTTACCCATACTTGCTGCATATTTCTTACTTACTGTTTCTGCTTTAGACACTTGGAGAGACTGCAGAATGAATCAACGTGAGTGGAAAGATGCTGTCCACAGACTCCAGAGACTTCTGGAGCCAAGCCGCCACAGCATGGGGAATGCCTCCAGAGGTTACAGAGAGTGGGACACTTACCACGAACACTCGAGATATACTGTTCCTGAACCACATAGGAGTGATGTGAGGTGGAAAGAGCTCAGTTCTTCATCTCATCATGTTCATAGTAAAGTCCCAGAGGTGGAGGACCCGGACAGAGAGCCGCTGCCATACAGTGAAGAGGATGTAGAGCTAGCAAGAAACAAGCAGCTCCTCAGAGAGATGGAGGAGAGAATTATGCACAAGAAAGCTACACTCGCCACGAAAACGCGGTTTGTGGAGACACCACCAGGTGTTTCCGGTGACGAGCCTCCGGCTATGTGTGTAGGTCAAACTCTAAGAGACAGAGTGAAGGAGATTCTGATGCAGCGACAATACCTCAGCTATTTCTCAAAGGTGAGGAGCACTGAATAGACTCTCAGAGTAAAGTGTGTTTCTTTTTTTTGCACGACCCACCTGATCCCCTTAGAATCAGATGTTTTTGTTCTTTTTTTGTTTTTGTTTATTTGGATAACAAAAAATATGACCTTCATATTATAAATACTTGAGATTTAGATGAAGTAGGGTACATAGGATTTTTGCCTTATTTTTTTTATACAGGGAATATCTACATGAGATTTTCAGTGCTGAAAAACACAGGGCCTAATATAAAGTAAAAGAAATGAAACCTCATCACTTGTAGACTCGTAGTGACTCACTGTTACAATTTCAAAAATCTCGTTCATGTGTAAAGCTTTCTTTTTCTATTATTCAGGTGCAGTCGGCCAGAGAGAGAAGGAGCTCCTCCTGCCCGAGCAAAGGCGGTGTGCTGCAGGAACAGCATCCTCTGAAGCTCAGAGTGAAGGTTCTAATGAAGAAGAGACACACTGTTGTACCACCTTACAGTGAACAGGTATGTGTCATGAAATCAATATCCTTAGTATCCTTATTTTCCTATTATATTGTTTTATGTACTTTAATAATGAAGTCTTGTAGAGCAAGGCCACTTTTGACTCACAAAGTGCTCAGCCAGACTGAAAAACAGGAAGTTTTAGTGCACAGATATATTAATAGATAAGACACAGAAAAGAGGAACTTTCCATATACGCAATGTTTGAAACTGTGTGACGTGTAAAGTACCAAAATAAAACCTTTATGAGGCACAGTTTATGATTCTAATGTTAGAGATCCTGCAGCTGGCGTTTGAGCTGTGCAGGGGTCTCTCTCTTCCGGAAGATTATTGAATAAAAAGAAATATAGATGTTTTAACACACTGAGTCGGTTTTCTCTGTTCTATCACGGGGACAAAAGAATCGGGGGTTAATATCGTGCCACACAAAGCCGTTACAGCTGAAGTGATTGGAACAAACATTTCGGGTGGATGTAAATGTCCTGCATTTGTATAGCGCTTTACTTAGTCCCTAAGGACCCCAAAGCGCTTTACGCTACATTTAGTCATTCATCCATTCACACACACATTCACACACTGGGGTTGCAAGCTACATTGTAGCCACAGCTGCCCTGGGGCGCACTGACAGAGGCGAGGCTGCCGGACACTGGCGCCACCAGGCCCTCTGACCGCCACCAGGATGTGTGTGAATAACAGTGTTTTCCCCCAAATTACAATGTTTGTGGTGTTAGTGTTTGTTTGTGACGAAGGCGTTCAAGGTGCCTCTGTAACAGAGGAATAACCAGCTGCTGTTACTGTACAGTCCTTATGTTGTTGATCCAGCAGTTGACAGTCTTTCTGTTGTGTCATGGCAATGAAGTAGTAAATGTTAATGTTATCTTTTGTCTTAGCATTATTAATGTGCTATAAAACGCTGAAATATGGCCATTATCTTTTGAGTGGCTGATGATTTGGAAGTGCTGAGAACAATTTCAGACGTGTTTACCTGAGACCTGGATCATGGCAGCATGTAATTATCCTTTTTATGACAGCATCTGAGCTTCTCACCACGAATCTGCTGGTTCAACAGTAAAGTGAATTTCTGATCTTTCTCAGGGCCCTGACGTTGCGTGGCCTCCTTCCAGCCCAAGCGTTACATCACCGGCTAAGAGAGAGGACGTCATCAACAAGGGTTTCGAGTGCTTCCTCAGCGTGCTCAACAAAGGAGTCGACATCAACTTGCTCAAACCTGAGGATGACTGTGGCGAGGTTGTACAGTTGATGCTTTTCTGCTTTTTCTTTGTATTTCAACCACACCATACCTCCACTTACATGCAGTATTATATGAATGAATCATAAAATAAGAAGAAGCTTTGATCAACATGAGAATGCTTTACTTTTCTACTCTTCTCTGAGTAATGACACAGTAATCTCTTTTTTCCTTCTCAGGTCCCTGGTGTGTCACTGCCACCTCTCGGCCGAAGCATTTCTTCACCAGCAAAGGATGAAAATAATGTCAACAAGGGTTTTGAGCGCTTCCTCAGCATCCTCAACAAAGGCGTGGACATCGAAAAGTTTAACAAGATTATGAGCAATGATAGAGAGGATCTTCCTTTAGGTGAGGAGCCCCTGAGCATTCAGATCCCTGACGTGGAGAGCAAATCAGATCCACCCTTTAGGACTGAGAAGCAACAGCTGAATAGTGGAGCTTCGCTGCTGGGCCTCAGACAGCCCAGTGAAAGTATACTCAGCATGGACAATGACATTGAGCCAAGCCTCACCCAGAGAAAGGAAAGCCAACGGTTGTTTAGTGGTGCCTCACTGCAAGGTCTCAGCCCACCCAGTGAAAACCAGTGCTCAAACAGTAGAGCCATTCTGTTACTCAGCCAGGCCAGTGAGAGCCAGTGGTCGAAGACTGAAGCCTCGCTGAAAGGCTTCAGCCATCCCAGCAAGAGTATTGGCAGCGGTGCCTCACAGCCAGTACTCAGCAAAGCCAGTGACAGTGAGCGGGCAGGCAGTGGAGCCCTGCTGACAGACTTCAACCACGCCAGTGAAAGCCAACAGTTAAATACCGGAGCCTCGCTGTCAGGCTTCAGCCTACCTAGTGAGAACCAGCACTCAAAAACTAGACCCATTCTTCTAAGCCACGGGTGGGAAAGTGAGAGCCATCGATCGAAGAGTGGATCCTCACTGAAGGATCTCAGTCAGAAAAATGAGAGTCTACTCAGTACAGCCAACGAAGGTGAACCGGGCCTCAACCAGGCTAAGGAAAGCCAACGATTAAATACTGGAGCCTCGCTGAGGGGCCTCAGCCAGTCCAGTGAAGGTACTGGCAGTGGTGCTCCACAGCCTGGACTCAACAAAGCCAAAGACAGTGTGCGGTCAGACAGTGGAGTCCAGCTGACGGGCCTCCGCCAAGCCAATGAAAGCCAACAGTTAAATACTGGAGCCACATCACCCAGTGAGAACCAACTCTCAAACACTAAGCCCATTAGGCTGAACCTCACCTGGGCAAGCAAGAGCCAGTCGTTGAAAAGTGGACCCTTGCTGAAGGGTCTCAACCAGGACAGTAAGAGCCAGCATTTAAAGAGTGGTGCCCTAATTCCCGGGCTCGGTGATGACAGTGACAGCGAGTCAAATGGTAGAAACCTGCTGGCAGGCCTCAACAAGACCAACAGTAGAGAGAAAAAGACTAACTCATCTACTCGAGAGAGGCTCTTCTTACCTGGTGAGGAGGAGGAGAAGAAGAAGAAGAGCAAAAGAGACCACAGTTTGGGCTCTAGTAATCGATTAAAGTCTCCGGTGGCACTGAAGAAGAAGGAGGAGGAAGAAACGTTATCGGTGAGTGAGCAGCATGAACAGCTGCAGAGCATTCTTAAAACTCTGGGATGGAACCTGGACGTGGACGAGCTGAGCAAACTGGCAAACCGCACTCAGGAGAGGCTGTGCGGGAGAAAAAACGAACGTGTGAACAGCAAAGAGGAGCACGAGAGCCGCCAGAAGCACTCTCGTGATCGAGATCGCAGGAAGTCCTCATCAGGCTCTCCTCTGCGGAGCAGCAAAACAGACCAGAGTCAGGAGAGAATGCATGGGAGCAAGAGCGAAGGGAGGGTGAGGAAGAGTGAAGGGAGGAGGAGGACTGAGAGCAGAGGGGAGGACGAGACACAGCAGAGGCGCTCTCTTAGAGATCACAGAAATTCCTCGTCCTCATCTTCCTCCAGGTCAGCCTCTAGAAGCTCTAGCCCGAGCCCCTCATGCCGTCGACGCTCTCGCAGCAGAGA